CAGTTTGCTTTCCCCCCCCTCCTCTGGCAGCTGACCATTCAACGGCTGTGCAGGGAGAATCCCTCCCCCGCCTCCTTGTCTGAACGGTTAGCTGCTGGAGGAGGCAGGGAAGGGCAGCTGAGCTCTGCCGACTGGACCACCGCAGGAGAAGTAAGACCATGAAGGATGGTTAATGGGCCAGCAGGCTGGGAGGTCGGGGAAGGGAACACATGGCAGCACTTCATACGAAGCAGCACCAATCAATTTGTGCCCATCTTTACTTCTAATGTGTCTTTATAGTTCATGGAGGGTAAATCAGAGCAGTTTGCCATGCTTTTGGCATAGAACAGGAGCAGATTAATGGCTTTTGTGCTGTGCTTCTCAATTTCCCATCAACATCTGCTTCAAACAAGATACAAGATGAGGTGGGCCATCAACCTGCCTGTTGAGAGCAGCTCCCCTAGTTCAGTGGTTCTTAACCTTGGGTTACTCAGGTGTTTTTGAACTGCAAGAGGATTTCATGTCCAAGCATGCAACCAGCAGTCCAAGAAATAAGAAAATTATTTACACAGTGATTTTTCCATACACATGTTTTCTTGATCAAATTTTGGGCATTGAGTTCAATGCAAGGGAAACATGTACAGGACTTCAGACTCTTACGTGTTTGGAGGAGAGAGAAGAATTGGCTACGAATCTTATTTTTTGGAAACAATTAATTAGATTTCATGTTTACAGGCAGAAAAAAGGAAAGGAGATGAGGGCGAAAAGAAAAAATGGAGAAGCCGCCTAGAGTGGCCTTTTAGGCCAGGTGGGCGGGGTATAAATAAATAAATAAATAAATAAATAAATAAATAAATGAATGAATGAATGAATGAATGAATGAATGAATGAATGAATACATACATACATACATACATACATACATACATACATACATACATACATACATACATACATACATACATACATACATACATACATACATACATACATAAGATATATTATTCAGTTGTTAGAGGATTTTACGTGCTTTATCTACATGTGAAGGCATATTTTACAGACACCTGCTCCAAGCAAATAACAGTTTTGGACTGAAGGTGAACTGACATTAATCCAGATATACCTGTTGTTATTATTGCTGCTGTTGCTGCTGTTCTCGTTGTCATTGCTGTCCTGTTGGTTCCAGCTTTTGGAGACCCTATGAATAAGAGATCTTCAGAATATTCTTCCCTCAACTCTTGTAAACTAAAGCCTGCAGTTTCCTTCAGGGAGTCAACCCATCTCACATTTCATCTTCCTCTTTTCCTGCTGTCTTCCATCTTTCCCAAAGTGGTAGAAGAGTTTATTTTATTTATTTTTATTTTATTCTCCACCCTTGTTAGAAAGAGAATTAGAGTGTTGATGCCGAAGCTCTCAAAATGCAGTTCACAGTGGGGACAAAAAGGGACTCAAATATTAAATGGCAAAATGGAAAATTCCTAGTTCACTGGACTATTTTTTTTCCTTTCTGTGTCACCATATCTGTACCTCTTCCACCTGCTAAGATTTATGTGAATTTTGGTAGGGTTTTGTTTGTTTGTTTTTCATTCTTGATTTTACAGGAAGAGGATGCAAGGCTATAAGGTTCTGTGGGTCCCGGGTTCAGATCATGCTGGAATTGCCACGCAGGTGAGGACCAACAATTGCTCCCACTATTTCCGGCGTTCCATTTGTGACCCCAAGCACAAGAGGGAGATACCAGCATGGCTGGAGAAACTGTGGGTTTTCAACCATACAAAATATCTTTAGGTGAAAATGCCTTTCTTGTGAATAGCCCAGCGAGAACAGATATTCCATTCCAAGGTTGATTGGCAGAAGGAATCATGGTATGAAAGGAGAACAGAATGTTGTGGAAAGGTTGGAATACTCAACATTCTATAGCGCAAGTTGCTAGAGGAAGGGTTGGGGAGTGTCAAAGGTCGCCCAATAAGGACTGAGCCTGCTGTGTCATCACAGAATGCAGACCAATGGAAGTGGGCTGGGATACAGAAGGGAGTGGTTAGAAATCCTGGAACAGCAGCTCCACCTCACTTTAGTAATTTGCCACTTGTTACTTTGGTTTCATCCAATTCAGAAGGGAAGCCCATGCTATGGACCAGTGGTTCTTAACCTTTGTTACTCAGGTGTTTTTGAACTGCAACTCCCAGAAACCTCAGCTAGCAGAGCTGATGGTGAAGGCTTCTGGGAGTTGCAGTCCAAAAACATCTGAGGAACAAAGGTTAAGAACCAGTGCTATGGACCAAAGTTATTTTCTATCTTCTGCCTCTTGCTGTACTCCCAAAATGTAAACTTGAGTAGTTCTGCTGCTGCTTTCTCCCTCTGTAGAATACCTCTGTATTTTCTACCTCTGTGTGTGTAAATAATGCTCCTGATATGAATGAGTTAATGAGAGACACATTATTTTGTCTTTCTGCTGTTAGGTGACAACATCAAGGCACCCCACAATCAGAAAACCTTAGGAAACTAAGTTTAAAATATTAAAAACAAAATAAAATGTTAGCCATAAGAGTGTATAACACAGGGGCAGCAGAAGAGAATGTTTTGAATAGTAATCAGACCAAGAACAAAACAGTGTCGTCTTTACTTGACATGCAAACAAAAGGCACAAAGCCTTTCTGAGGGGCAGTTCCCCTCCTTTCCTGTTGCTATAAGTTCTAAAACAAAAAGTACAATCTTATGTCTGTTTACTCAGAAGTAAACTGTGCCTCTTAACTCCTTAGTACATATGCTTAGGATTGGAACCTTAGAATATGATAATATGGAATGCTGGGTTTTTTTTTAAATCAAGTTTTCCACTTCTCTTGGTTTTGATGCCTTCTTATGCTTTTCTTGCGCTTGCTCAGGCCGTGGTGGAAAAAAAGATCTGGAAGGAACGGCGCGCCCTGCGACAGGACCTCACACGAGAGGATTTCCTCCAAGAAGTCTGGAAATGGAAGGAGGAGTGAGTATGTTGTGAGCTAGAAGTGTAGCCAAAATCTGCCCTCCTCTGAGTGGACAGATTATAGATTTGGAGGGGAGGGTATGTCAAGGTGGTGGTGCTGCGGGTTAAACCACAGAAGCCTCTGGGCTGCAAGGTCAGAAGACCGGCAGTCGTAAGATCGAATCCATGGGATGGAGTGAGCTCCCATCACTCATCCCAGCTCCTGCCAACCTAGCAGTTCGAAAGCATGCAAAAATGCAAGTAGATAAATAGGTACCACCATGGTGGGAAGGTAATGGTGTTCCATATCTAGTCACGCTGGCCACGTGACCACGGAAACTGTCTATGGACAAACGCTGGCTCTACGGCTTGGAGATGGGGATGAACACTTCCCCCTAGAGTCAGACAGGACTGGACTAAATGTCATGGGCAACCTTCTGTAACGTTAACCCTAATAAAATAGCCTACAACTTGTTTTGCTAAAGGCTTCAGTCAGTTCTCTTCTACCTGATCAAGGTACTTACATATGAGCTTTTCATTTGCATGGCTGCGTGTAACAGAGGTTTCTGGTGTTTTGTTCCCCCCCCTCCCCCTGAGATCAGAAAGGGAAATGAAATATTCCAACAGTTGAAGGTGATGGGTGCCTCCTTAGACTGGGACCGTGTCTGTTTCACCATGGACTCTGTGAGTAAGACAAACACGCTGAAGTACGAGTGGCCAATCTTTTTTGCCTAGTTATGCTGGAATAATATGAGTGGCGTAATTCTTGGAGGTGAAGTTCTTAAATTAAGAAATCCTCATAAACATTGGCCAAGATCCAGCTGCTTAGCATAATAAATTGCACTAGAGTAGGCTCATGGAATCAATGGGGTTTGGTTCAGCCAACTTCTTAGTAAAGTCCATCGATTTATACGGGCGTCCTTCAATAGCCCTTTACTATGCTAACGTAAGTTGCAGTTAGAGTTGGCCTATTTGAATCAATGGAACTTGTGGAGGAGTTGACTCACCAAATACCCATTGATTCCATGGGCTTACTTTAGTGCTATTTACTGTTTGTTTCTTTGTTTAAAATATTTTTACCCCTCTTTTCTCCTTTAAAAGGACTCAAAGCAGCTACTCTAAGCAACAGAATATTGGCCACAATCTATTACATACTGAGTTGAGTGAATCAGTGTGTAAATGATAACATCTATAGTGGTTTTTTTTGAACTTGAGGCAAGATCGAGAACAGGTACTGCCCCTCCTCTGTATGACTGCCTTCCAAGTATTTGAAAAGTGCTGTCCTATCTTCCCTCAGTCCTCTTTTTCTCAAGGCTAACCATGCCCAGTTCTTTCAATCTTTCCTCCAAGTCTTGGTTTTCAGTCCCCTGATCATGCTTGTTGCCCTCCTCTGAACTTGCTCCAATTTTTTTGGCATCCTTTTTAAACTGGACACAGTTGCCTGGAAGCGGGTGAGATGTAGGTTTAGTTTTTGTTTATGCCACAAGTGGAGTATATCTGTAATAAATTCATGATGTCAGTGCTTTGAAATGTGATGCTAGGGCGGGAGATGTAGAGGCCAGCAGCTTGCACCTCCAAGCCGTGTAAGGGGTAAATTCAATGAGTACAAATGCACTTGTAATACCTCCAAGCATGATACAGTGGTGCCTCGCTTGACGATGTTAATTCGTTCCAACGAAATCACTGTAGAGCGAAAACATCGTCAAACAAAACAAAAAAAACCATTGGAACGCATTAAAACCTGGTTAATGCGTTCCAATGCGCTGAATACCTGCTCGTCCAGCGAAGATCCTCCATACGGCAGCCATTTTCGGTGCCTGTATAGTGAGGAATCCGTCCTAGAAAATAGCAGAGGACTATTTTGAAAGCCGGCAGCCATTTTGTTTGCTGATCGTCGTAAAGCAAAAAATTGGTTCCTGAACCAGGGAACCGATCGTCACTAAGCGAAATTCCTCCATTTAAAACATCATTTTGCAATCGCAATTGTGATCGCAAAAACCTCATCGTAAAGCAATTTCCTCGTTAAGTGAGGCAATCATTAAGCAGGGCACAACTGTACTTTTATAAGCACTCACCATCATATAACACATTTTATATTCTTCCTGAAGAACTTTTCCCCATGGTTCCAATGCTTCCTGAAATGTTGTATCCTTGCTTCCATGTGTCTTTCATTTTTTTCCACAGGGCTTTTCCCAGGCGGTGACCGAGGCGTTTGTGCGATTGCACGAGCAAGGCCTGGTGTATCGGGACAAGCGTTTAGTAAACTGGTCGTGTGCCTTGCGGTCGGCCATTTCTGACATTGAGGTGAACGGGGCATCCAAGGGATCAGGTGGGGGGTATGGAAGAGTTTTGGTGCTGTCTCGGCAGAGATGTTTCACTGCAGGTCTCTGGCAGGTGGAGAACAGGCAGCTCGGGGGACGGACGGAGCTCTTGGTGCCTGGAGTCCCGGGCAAAGTACCCTTTGGGGTTTTGGAGACCTTTGCCTACAAGGTGGATGGAGAGGAAGGTGAGTTTACCATGTTAAGCAAGCTTGTGCAGGAACAAACGATAGCGGGCGGCAACCTAACCTTAAACAGGATGGTTGCGTTGCATTTTCCCAAGAAACTCTGCTTTTGTGTGTTCACAGTTTTTATTTGGTATTTGTCACTGTGATTTTGGATTTCATCCATTTTCATTTCCTGACGTCGTGTCAGATATAAGCAAATACAAGAAACGCAGGGATGGCAAGACTTCCCATTCTGTGCTTGAAGC